ATCTATCTATCTATCTATCTATCTATCTATCTATCTATCTAATATCTACCTGGCAAAAGTATTACATTCCTAAAAATCTGATGCATACCAAAATACCACCATATTAAGATATCTGATTTAGTAAATATAAGTACATTTCCCCGACATATATATATATATATATATATATATATATATAATTCCATGCATGGGTTATTGTGAGTTTGGCGCTAGCATGAAAACCTCAATACCGAAGCTGTTCATTCATCCGTTCATGATTCTGTCCAGTTTTTGTTCATGCATTAAAAAATCCTCAATCACTCAAGCAGACATGCCAACATATCTCACTTCCGCTTCCTTTACTTTCTTTTCAAAATTTGCCGCACCTCATGTAACGTCTTCATCGACTTAAACAGAAAGGTTTTCTTGCAACGTATCATACGTCCTGCTGCGAGTAGAGCTGCAACTATATCGATTAGTGTTCGAATTCAGTAGAACACCAGTTCGCTAATCGATTTAACATATACGAAATAATATCAATAGTCTTTCTTTCCAGAAATTCCATGTTGTATCTTTGAAAATTGGATCGTTAGTTAATGTCAGGGTTAGCAAGAGAAATTGGCGAGGCGTTTTCTAACTCCGACCGAGTTCGATATGTTCTCTTGGAAAATGTATGGCACCATCACATCTCCCTCTATATATGGGTTAAATAACGGGGCTGAGTGGCATTATATTAATAAAAAAATTGAATTCAAATTGGCTGTGCAATTAATCTTTCCTTCGACGATCCATTACTGTTAATGGACGTGGTGTAATGGTTAACAAGCTTGTCTCGCTAGATCAATTACGACTGAATAGTGAGTTCGATACTCACTGGGTGCCCCTAATTTTAGCCTTGTGCCACATCTAAGCTACACTTAGAAAATCACCAGGCACTTTGATGTAATGGTTAGCAAAATTGTGTCGCTAGATCAGTTACGACTGAATAGTGAGTCCGATCCTCACTGGGTGCTCCTTGTGCCTCATTTAAGCTGCACATTGAAATCACCAGGCACTTCGATGCAATGGTTAAACAAGCTTGTCTCGATAGATCAATTACGAATCAATAGCGAGCTCGATCCTCTCTGGATGTCCTATACTATGAACTTTTTCCCATATTTAAGCTATGCTTAGAAAACCACAATTACTATTAATAGGGTCTCAAGAATCGTGACACGAAGATTTTTGGCAGTTACTTATGTAACCGTATATAATTAATGTTCAAATCTCTTAGAAAATAACCTATTCTCGAATTTCAGAATTTGTGACGTAAAGCGTCGTCATTAAGAGTTGTATAACCAACATGGTTGTCGTACTCGTAGCGTTCATTGTTTCTGTCATACACTGTATATTTCTCATTTCAGTGTAGTTTATTGTTGCCTATCATATCTACTCTTACCTAACTCTTACCCTTGTGATGAAGGCTCAATCAACAGCCATCCGCATGAGTTAGCTTAAACGCCGACTGATAGGGTGGCTTTTAATTTAATTTAATATATTGTCTGTTTTAATCTATCTATCTATCTATCTATCTATCTATCTATCTATCTATCTCGCTAGCTAGCTCCGTGTGTTTATATATATATATATATATATATATATATATATATATATATATATATATATACCTTAATCTTTTCTTTTACGAAATATGATTAATTTACAAACTCGTTGACTATTGTATTGTTTTCTTCTATATAAGAATGGCGTATTACATTGTGTCACTACATCATACTTTTTCAACTAAAAGGGACACAACTCTCTAACATCAATAACTCCATTCAAATTAAAAAAAAATAACTGTTCTCAAATTACAGTGTCACAAATTAAAATTGTCCGGGTTTTGAACTTTACTCCTAGAGGCCGTAGCCTAACTTATCACACCATTTGGGAATCAGGCCAACTCCGTAATCAAATTAAAAACATTTCGAGTCGCAATCCTGAAAATTGAGAATAGTCGAAATTAATTGCGAAATCCAGCGAAAGTCAACCATGAAATAAAAATAATTGTTTATACGGAAAGTAAGGACCTACGTTCATCAAATTTTCTATAAATGAAGTGGCCACAGAAGAATTATTGTTGAACTTTTAAAAGGGAAGCTTAAATATTCATGCAATACTCAAATACAACGATCCATTTTGAGTTCTTCTGTAGTTTATTGTTACCTATCCTATCTACTCTTACCTGTAGTTTATTGTTACCTATCATATCTACTCTTACCTGTAGTTTATATTTAACTATCATATCTACTATTACCTGTAGTTTATTGTTACCTATCATATCTACTCTTACCTGTAGTTTATTGCTACCTATCATATCTACTCTTACCTAACTATTGTGATGAAGGCTCAATCAACAGCCCTCCGCATGAGCTAGCTTAAACGCTGACTGATAGGGTGGCTTTTAATCTAGTTTAATATATTGTCTGTTTTAATCTATCTATCTCTATCTATCTATCTATCTATCTATCTATCTATCTAGCTCTATATATATATATATATATATATCGTATCTATCTATCTCCATTGCAGACATTTGCTCATACAGTTCAATACCCACAGAGCACAACTGTTTATGTGGTTACATTGCTTGTTATATATATATTTGGTGTGATATGAACAAGGCCGGCACGCACAAAACTCGGAAATTTTTTGGGCTAGAAAACCATCAAAATAGTTCCGTTTAAAACTCCATTTTCCCAAACCATGATCAGATTCGATCCCGTAATGATAAAACGTTCTAATCACTTAAACACGTGAAATGTAAACATTATTTAAGTCTTTTCTCAAATGTCCTACTGATAGTCAAAATTTAAACAGAGTACTTTTCGTCAGTATTTTTTAACGAAACCTCTAAAAAGAGAGATTGCTGTCATTTATATAATATAAAATATATATAAAATATAAATAGTTAGTTTATGCAAATTTAGTTCCGTATGGGTAGACCTAGGAGGATGATATCCAGAGAAAATGTAAAATTCGATGGACAGGTTAAAGACTTATCCAAGAGTAAAACAGATAACTATATATATATATTTATATATAAATATATCATATATATATATATATATATAGTTATGTAACGTTCCATTAGTATATGTCACAATGGATGCTAATAATATAATATATTAAAACTGATCCACAAAATAACTCAGTGTATTTATTATTACAGAGCATATAATAAACAATAAAATAAATTCCTAAAGTTTTCGGCAGACTAAGATATCGGTAGTTCTTAAAACCCTTAGGTTAAAGTTCTATTTCTGACACGAACTCTGACACAAGTTCGTGATAAAACAGACAACAGATCTTCGTTTGCCATTCTCCTTATGTTGATTTGGGAAAAACGAATTTATATATATATATAATATAAAGTTTGTTCATCAGACCTTCAAATTTGAATTTAGAATTGTAGACAAATATATATATTATATTCCTACTCTGTCCTGGACATTGAGTTCTAAATGGATAAATATATATATATATATATATCATACTTATTATAAAAACCCAGAATGTAGTAATATTTGGAAAACAAATTTCAAAAAATCCATATATGGGAAAAACACAATTGTTTTTGCAAAATGAAAACACGATTATGAATTGTCGAATGAAAGGGGACGTTATACTTATTATAAAACCCAGGTTGTTTTGTGTGTATGTGTTTGTGTGTGTGCGTTCGTTTATATATGGGATCGGATTTCCTACATTTTTCAACCGTTTTAATAAAACCATTTTTTTTTTTTTTTTGCAGGTAGTGTTTCTTATGGTCTTGCAAGACAAAATTCAGAATGTTTTTAAATTCCAAAAGACAAATAATAGTTCAATCGATAGACTCATAAGAAAAACAATGTTTGAGATTGGGTTTGACCAAAAAAAACTAATTAAGACATGTGTGTCCGTCATCCAAACAATAATCTTTGTCACAATTTATGATGGTCGATGGATCTAAGACATCCCGGGCAAGTTTTAGTATATATATATATATATATATATATATATATATATATATATATATATTGACCACTAATATTATTTATATATGTGTGTGTGTGTGTGTGTGTGTGTGTATGTGCAAGTTTCGTTTAAAAGGACAGACAAGGTACTGCGGTTAGTTTTGAGATTATCAATGTCTTTTTTGTCTTCAGCTAAAATAAAAATATAATCTTCATAACGGACTTTTATTTTAGGTGGAATGACTTTTTAAAATGCTTTGTTTTCATCATCAGACACGTATTAGTTCGAGAAACACAGTCCAACTGGATTTCTCAATATAACTCCGTTAATTTAGATACAAATCTTATCAGTATGGTCATAGAAGGGGACTTTATATCCAAACTCGTACAAACCTATTAAAACCAAGCGACGAGTCTGTTTAAGTTTCTTGTTTTTTACTTTTTCAATTTTCTAAGAAGATGTTGCGTATTGAGATCGAAATTATGAATAAACTGTCCGAAGTTCATATTTGTTCTGTTAATTTTCAGCCGTCCCAGACATTTTCAAGAGTCATGTGTTGTGAATTTTCTAGGCAAGATTCCCTCGGCTACATTCCAGTATTTTATAGAAAGCTTGACACCACGTGATTTGTTCACAACCGATACATCACATATCAACCAGCACACCATGAACGACCAAAGTACAACTGCCAACATAAGACAAATATTAGTGAATAATACCAGAATACACTATAGCATCCAATACATAATATTTGTTATATTATTTCACAAAATTTCACTTTGAACCGTTTATACCCAATTTCGATCTTTCTATGCAACAAACAAAATTGGAAAATACAATACAAAAATAAACAGGTATTGAATTTACGTACATATAATTTAGAAACTAGTAATTTAAACGCTAGAAATTTCAGAGCTGGCGCCAAGAAAAATATAGTTAACACAAGTAATTTATGCAACTGAAGAAGTAAAAATAGATGTCCGTTAGATGGAGCTTTTAAAATCGGATCTATAAAGCAGAAGTAACAGATAATAATGGCCAGAATAAAACGTACATAGAATGTACTGAACGTACTTTCAAACGTTGATGGTACAATCATAGGCCTTCATTCAAGCTAGTAAGTCATGAGTGCTGTACCAAACTAGCTAACCATCTGAAGAATTTAAAAGAAAAAGACAGCAGGGATCCGACTGTAAGCTGGGAAATTTTTAAAAGGGCGAAATATTATAACAACCATACTAATATTTGAAACCTCTGCCAATAGGAAAAATTAGCAATAATGACATTTCCGGATTTCAAGAATATTTTGAACCAGAAACCAAAGTCAAGAACCCTTGCATATATACTAAAAAAATCCTCTTAAGCACATATGAGGTTGAATAAAACAAATATATATTTCAATTAACCCCCTACCGATAATTTATTGACTTTTATCTTTCACCTTCTTCTTCTTCTTCTTCTTCTTCTTCTTCTTCTTGTCCTTGTTCTTCTTCTTCTTGTTCTTCTTCTTGTTCTTCTTCTTTTTTTCTTCTTCTTGTCCCTGTTCTTCTTCTTTTTCTTCTTGTTCTTCTTGTTCTTCTTCTTGTTCTTGTTCTTCTTCTTCTTCTTCTTCTTCATGTCCTTGTTCTTGTTCTTCTTCTTCTTCTTCTTCTTCATGTCCTTGTTCTTGTTCTTGTTGTTGTTGTTCTTCTTCTTCTTCTTCTTTTTCTTCTTCTTGTCCCTGTTCTTCTTGTTCTTCTTGTTCTTCTTGTTCTTGTTCTTCTTCTTCTTCTTCTTCTTGTTCTTCTTCTTCTTCTTCTTTTCTTGTTTGTTCTTCTTCTTCCTTTCTTCTTCTTCTTCTTCTTGTCCTTGTTCTTCTTCTTCTTCCTCTTCTTCTTCTTTTTCCTCTTTTTACTCTTGTTGTTGTTGTTGTTCTTCTTCTTCTTGTTTTTCTTCTTCTTGTCCTTGTTCTTCCTCTTCTTCTTGTTCTTTTTCTTCTTCTTCTTCTTGTTCTTCTTGTTCTTCTTCTTCTTCTTCTTCTTGTTCTTCTTCTTCTTCTTCTTCTTCTTGTCCCTGTTCTTCTTCTTGTTCTTCTTGTTCATCTTCTTCTTGTCCTTGTTCTTCTTCCTCTTCTTCTTCTCCTTGTTCTTGTTCTTCTTCTTGTTGTCCTTGTTCTTTTTCTTCTTCCTCTTCTTGTTCTTGTTCCTCTTCTTCTGCTTGTTCTTGTTCTTCTTCCTCTTCTTCTTCTTCTTGTCCTTGTTCTTGTTCTTCCTCTTCTTCTTCTTCTTCTTCTTCTTGTTCTTCTTCCTCTTCTTCTTCTTCCTCTTGTTCCTCTTGTTGTTGTTGTTGTTCTTCTTCTTCTTCTTCTTCGTTACATCCTCCTCCTCACTTCCTATCACACCCAACGTCGTGTGTTTGTTTATCATTTTTTAAAAATTAATATAGCGTTCGTTAATTAAATTATTTAAAAAAAAAAAAAAACTCTCTTTCGTTTCATCATGTTAGACTAAAAGAAAGACAAACTTGTTTGTGAGGAAAATGCCTCGGAACCTCTGAAGATAAGTGCGAACTATGCATCAAATTAATTACATAACCTTGTCACCTCCAATTTCATGCGAGTGTCTTGTGTCTGTCGGCCTGTTTGTTTTATCTATATTAGAACTTTTGATGTTGTTGATTTTAAATCAGTCCCACGAAACACAGAGACGTATTCATCTTCCATAAATTTTGCCTTGCTTTTTGAGGAAGCCAAAGAGAGAAGACGCTTTCGGTGAAACGTGTTAATATATTTTCCACTTTGTCTCCTCAATATATATATATATATATATATATATATATATATATATATATATAATAGCTGGGTACTCGTATTCGAGGATACCCGTCTACTAGGGCAGCTAGCCAATCCCTATTGCAGCCCCTTGCTCAGGTACATTTGTATTTGCTCAAAACCCACGGAGCTCACCTGTGGTTTATACTACAACTATGCAGTTTCTGGGAGAGAGCATGGTATCTAGCGTGATCATCAATTTGAACAGGGCCAGCATGTTCAATCCCTCTGACACGATGACTTGCGACTTTGTGCTAGCACTGCTATCGATGGACCCCAAGTGTTCTCTCTGCTCAATTTCACTCACAAGGCTTGGGTCAACCCGTGGTATGGTTTGCAGGAACTTTCCAAGGGTGCCGCACCCACACGCTGGGATCATTCACTTCTAGACGCGATAATATTAGGAAGTCACCTTGCTGACAAACCGACCATGGTGAGATTCGAACCTGGCTCTCATAGTCAGAAAATAAGTCACCCACACACACACACATATATATATATATATATATATATATATATATATATATGTCCCAATACATTTATATATATATATATATATATATATATATATATATATATATATATATGTATATGTGTGTGTGTGTGTGTGTGTGTGTGTGTGTGTGTGTGTGCGTACAGGGTGTCCCAACACACTTTGAATCGTTATAACTTATATATGTATTTTGACTTGTAAATTAGTGCAAGAGAAAGAATAT